GAGGGAGTGGGTGAGGGGAGAGGAGGAGTGAGGGCGAAGGTGGTGAGTGATGTAGAGAGTTGGGGTTTGAGTTATTAGGGGATGGAAGTGGTGGAGTGGGGATTGGAGGTATGTGGGAAGAGAGGTGGTGGTGTGGGGGAGTATGAGGAGTGGGAGAGGGGGAAGAGATAAAAGGAAGTGATGGGGAGGGGGAATATGAGGAGAAAGGAGGAGGGCAGATAGAAGGGGGTGGTGGGTTGTGGGAATTATATATTATGACATACTTTTCAATGGTGGTATAAGCTATTTCTTTTTCATAGCTGATGACCTAAAAAAACGGGTTGGAAAGTACAATTTCAAGAGATTAATTTGATAAATATTGTTTCTGATTCAAACCCACGACCTTACGGTTAAGGGTCCTGGAGCCAAACTTACTAGACCACCGACTGCACAATTTTGACGCAGCTTTCTCATTTGGACGTACTGATAACACAATTCCCCAGGTTTCGCAACCATGTGATCCTCGACCAGTTCTATGACACAAAATGAGAACGGTTTAATCTTCGCAAAAATTCTCTTTTAAAAAAAATCCCAAAAAGCTTTAATTCGCAGAAATATTACAAAGTGAACTCAAGTCGACAAAGTAATAGCATTAAAATGTGAGGCAGCGTGGTGGAATCAGACTCTCGTCAATTTTTGGGCATGCAGAGTTAGTGGTATCATCTGAAAGCTTGTTCACTTGTCTTTATTTGGATGAAAAAAATATCCATTTATCTTGAATATAAGTCGAGATATTTTCGAATGAAGGAGGTGGGGGTCACCTGTTTTCAGAAATAAAATTAGTGAGAAAATAGCCGCCAAAGATTAGTTATTTCCTTATCTTAAAAGTCCTTGGTAACTGAAAATTTACATTTTTTTGTGCCTTTAATCAACGTTTTTCATTTAAAAAACCCACACAGAAATGAGTTCTTTAATGGGTATGAAAGGTGTTGGGCCAAAAAACATACATTTGATAACAATTCAAAAACCTACGGAAAAATGCATGTTTCTTCACTTTGATTATTTTGACGAGAGCGTGATTCCACCACGCTGCCTCACAAATGTTCATTCAGTGTATGTACATTTTCTACAACTCCTCTCATGCGAACACTGTCTTGTCCTTTTTTTTGGAGACCTCAGGGTGATTTTTGTTTTGTTTTGTTTGTTTTGTGGGTTTTTAGGGGTGGGGTAGTAAATTGTGTATACTTCGCGTTTGTGTGTGTTTGTGTGTGTGT